TTTCTGTATGCCTTGGGGGCACCTGGGTGGCTCAGTTGGTTAAGTGTCCAACTCTTGATTTTGGCTCAGGTCGTGATCTCATGGTTCATGAGTTCGAGCCCCACATCAGGCTCCGTGCTACCAGTAGAGAGCCCGCTTGGGATTCTCTCTCTCTCTTTGTCTCTCTCAAAATAAATAAGTAAACTTAAAGTAAAAATAAAAATAAATAAAATTTCTGCATGCCTTGTATTTTCCCCTCCATTACTACCCTGTTTTGAGTTTAACTAATTTTTTATAAGCCATTTTGATTTCATTTTCATTTTTTTCTATATATTTGGATATATGCTTATATATTTCTCTTAGATGTTTAGACATTGCTTAAATACTAGAGAGATGACACTTAATCTCCTGAATGTATAACAAGTCTAGTTTTTTTGATCAGAAATAAATATCTATATCTATTATCTATATTATCTATTATACAGATATAGATTTACTTAAAAATGGAAAAAGAAAAGCTTCAAAACCAAAGTGTGCTGTTTTATTATGAATGTCTAATGTGCATTCAAAGTATTGAAAAGCAAGCCTTTTTACCAAAGGATAATGTCACTAGGACATAAGGACTGTAACTATAAAAGAAGATTTTGAGGGGCACCTGAGTGGTTCAGTCGCTTGAGCATCTGACTCTTGATTTCAGTTCAGGACGTGATCTCAGGGTTCATGGGATCCAGCCCCGTGTTGGGCTCTGTGCTGACAGCACAGAGCCTGCTTGGGATCTTCTCTCTCCCTCTCTCTCTGCCCCTCCACCACTTGTGTGTGCACGCTCTCTCTCTCTCTCAAATTTAAAAAAAGAAGGTTTTGCAACATAAAGGTGCTCATGGAAACTAGAAGCTAGGAAACGATGGGGAGGACACAAAACAGTGAGCCGGTGCTCTGGGAGGAAGGCTCTGGGAGGTGGAGGGCGTGGCCCCAGGCCTGGGCTGGATGGCTGTCCCACCACGTGGGTGCCAAAGCAGGAAGAACACACCCAGCAGGATCTGAGAGGAGGACATCACTGCGGCCTCCGAAACAGTCACCGCTGAGGGGGGTGGAAGGGTTACCCCTCCAGACTTCAACAAGGTCCCCTCCAGAGGGTCTGCTTTCTGACCTGTAATAAGATGCGGGAAACCTAGGATAACGGCACCCACGATGGGGGCTGTCCAGGGCGACCAGCAATTCTTGCGCGTGGCATTCTGGGAAGGGTCCTTGCTAGTACGTTCAGGGCTGAGGTCCCTGGATGCACACTGGCCGAGCAGTCCGGCTTTAGCGTCTCTCTGGCATCAGAAGAGTGGCCTCCGCCCTCAAAGCTTTCACTTGCTTCGGCACCAGCTTGTCTGGCGGAACCTCTTCTCCGCCGGGATGCGCTCTAAGGAGGCAGGGATGTAACAGACTGGCCCGTGGGTCACCAGCCGCACCTCCTTCAAGGCGCCGGCTTCCCCACCTCCTGCGGTCAGTAACAGGTGGCAGGCCACTCGGCCTCGGGCCCTTTCCCATCACTGTCGCTTGCTGCCATGGTCATCTTTGGGCCTTGGGGTACTTCTTGCTATGCCCAGTTTCCATGGCTGACTTCTACAGCAAGTCTAGCTTGAACTGATACCCCTGCACTTAAAGCTTTATCGGAACACAGCCCTGCTCTGTGCTTCGGCATTGTCTGGGGG